AATAACAACACAATGTACAAAGTAAATATTATAAAACGGCTAAAATAACCGAATAAATCAGCTACGAACTAAATCTAGTTAGGAGAACTTATTTTATTGATTACCCATATAATTAATGTACTAGATTATGTAACCATGTATGCTTTTCTTTTGTCATTAATGTGCCAGATTTTTGTTGGTAATTTCATTAATCCCCTCGTAAGAAAAATTGTTTTTAGGCATACCTTTCTAATATGTATTTTTTTTAGAAGTTTTGATCAAAATACAACAATTACGCTTTTGTGAATGGTGAATTTGTTACCTGGGACTTGGCTTATTAACAAAATACAACAATAGCTTTCTAATATGTTCTTCGGCATAACTCCGTCTTGTTTCTCCGGTTGGTGTCGGGTCGTTTACGGAGATTAGCTGGTGTTGAGTTCGGCTTTTGTATAGACCTTAGGGCAGTTTCGGAAGTGGCACCTGGGACTTGGCTTATTCTTCGTAAACGATTGTTCTCTGCTGGCTTGATCTGCTTGATTTGATGTGGAAGGGCCCATTTTTGTCTTTGTTTCTTGTGTCAGTTTGAGTCTGTGTTAGGTAGTGTTTTGAGTCTGTGTTTTTGGTTTGCACTATTTGGACTCAGTGCTTGTTGTTCTCATTACTCCGTTGGGGGTTGTGTCATTACTCCGTTGATGGACGTTTTATTACTCTGTTGGGGGTCTTTGCGTGTTAGGGTCTTTGTTTTGTGTTGTTTTGTTTTATTTTGGTGGTGCTTTGGTCTCATAGCTATGCCTATGCCTTTAGTGCATTGTCGGAAAAATTAGAGATTTAGTCCTTTAAGTGACACCGATTTGAGTTTTAGTTCTTTAACTGACCAAGATTTAGAAAATGACCTGTAAGTTCCAAAAAACGTGATAAATAGTCCTGCCACCGGCTACTGAGGGTAACTCTTACCTGCTTGCTTACCTGGATTATGTTTTTAATTTTTCTTTTTTTTTTTAATGTGCCACATCGGTAAATAAAGAAAACGAGTGTCTTAAATTGGGGGGAAAATCCCTAATTTTCGTCATTTGCCTTTTCTCAAACCCTAAAAAAGAATCCCGATCCATTCTCGAAGCCCTAAGAAAAAATTGCAGAGCGTGGACGAACCAAATTCAGGAGTTACAAATTCATCATGTCCTCGTCGTTCAGTAGCCCCAAGGTCTCTCCATTTTGTAACTATGGGAAGAAAGCGAAGCTGTGGACCTCATGGACTGAAGCCAACCCGGGTAGCGATTCAACGGGTGTGAATATTGGGAGGTACGCTATTCTCTTAAGCTCTGTTCTGCTTCAGCTTTCATTTTTCTAAAACATTATTGTTGCCCTAATTCTGAATGGAGGCTGTAATTTTTTTGCTTGGGAAGATCCCCTAATTCCTCGGCGTACTGTATATGTGATTCGGAAGCTTCGTGAAGAGAAGGAGACTCTGATGAAACAAGTTGAAATTTTGGAGAATCAGAGGCGCAAATTGAAGATGTACTTATTGATTTCTTGGTGCTTAATTATTTTGTTCAGGTGTTTAGGATTTATCTAATGAGTCAGACACCTTGTTGTTTCTTGGTCTTGTATTTTGTTAGAATGTGTTGAATTTGATTTGTGTAAGCAAGTACTTGATGAAGTAATTTCAATTTACCTAGCTATTTTAAGTACTTTTGTGTAAGGATCTGTTAAGTACTTGATTTGTGTAAGGATCTATTCTTGAGGATCAGTTATGTACTTGATTGAATGAATCTGAATGAATCTGCCACATTGAGTATCATCTTGAGGATCAGTTTTTATTGGATTTCCATCCATCAGTGACTTTGTTTCCAACCAAAAAAAAAGTTAACATATGATCAGTGATGTTTATAGCTTACAATGTTATTGATTATATTGATTTCCTGCCAAACATCATACAACACCAAAGATAAAACCAGTATAGCATAAAACAATCACACCAAAGGCCATAAACATCATACATCAGCTACAAGTATAAGCATATTCAACCATCATACCATAGTCAAAGCTAGCTATAACCATCAAACCATCAAACCACATCAATAACCATAAAACTAACATAGGTTGAATCATAAAACCCATTGCCATAATTATAACACAAAAAAATTGAGTGTTTAAGATCCCAAACATAAGCAAAACCCAGTTTCACAAAAAACAATCTGAAGAACATCAACCCAAACATAAGCAAATCCCAGTTTCACAAAAACCAATCTGAAAAACATCAACCCATAACATAACCAAAACAATAATTGATGTTTCTTCATCCAAAATAGGCAACTACATCAATTCTTCTTCTTTCTTTTGCCCTTCCCCTGTACCATTTTTGTACCCTGTTTAGCAAGACATGCATCCAAGTCTGAAAATGTGACATATTTCCGGGGCTTCATGTTATATGCTGAAGATTCTCCAGGCTCATTGTTCTGTTGAGACTGAAGTTGGTCCCACATGGTTGGAGGTTGCTCCAATGTAGCATCATTCAATGCACCATCCTGAAAAGCAATAAAAATATATTAAT